AGGGAAAGGGAACTTATGTTGCTGCTTTTAGCTTGGGGCAACTGTGGTTTGTGTATTGCTTTAATTTGCCCATGCTAGCAATCTGATTGAATTCTAGTCTTTTTGGCTTGAAGAATGTTTATAGCCTAGTTGGTTTCGCTCGTTCGAGTTAAGAATTTGAGTTAAAAAGTGAATTCATTTGAGTTAAAAAGTGAATTCTTGTGAGAGAAAATACTATAGCAGAAAAAGTTGAATTTGAGTTTTTGTGAGCGAAAACACTAAAAAGTAAAAACTTGAATTATGAATCGAACTAATGAGACGAATAAGGCCTAAGTGTCTCTTAAAATATTTTTGTTGTATTAGGGATTCCACTTCAAATCCTAGTAAGATCAACCCCATATATTTTTAAGGTGAAATTCTTTAGTTTCAATTTACTTGAGCAAAACGCTCCTAGGTATCAACCACACAATTCTAACTAGAGGGAATACCGGAAGGAAGAGAGAAAAAAAGAAAGAAAAAAAGGGGGAAAATGAATGAATGTTTTAAAGAATGGTTTCATTTTGAATGTATTATACCTGAAAACTGAATATATGACTGTGCTAATCTGTAATAATTCATTGTTATGTTCTGTGTTTTGTTGCATGCTTTGCTGCAGGTGCAGGCAACTATTGCTGAAACGGACCAACCAAAATGGTGGGAAAAGAATGCACCAAATATGATTGACATTCATTCTACTCAAGAGTTTTTGAGTGCTTTAAAAGAGGCTGGAGATAGATTAGTTATCGTAGAGTTTTATGGGACCTGGTGTGCTTCTTGCAGGGCTTTATTTCCCAAGGTAATCCCCTTTGTTACTTGACCATCTTTTTAATAATTGTCTATCTTCTGATTAATCTCTACACTAAAATAAACCTAAACAATGCAATACAAAAATCATAGTATCTAGAATTGAGCTTGTTTAATTGATCCTGATGTGTGGTCAACTGGATAGCTTCTTGTTACTCACCCATCATATTGTGCAAGGCTTATTTTAGGAGCACACTCGCATACTTGTCGAATTTTTGTATGTGCAATTTCAAACACTTGCTTTCCTGATTAAGAAAAGAGATTGTCTTGTGTAATTTTCTGGCAACTAGTTCTCTTCAAGGAAGAGTTGGGTAATCCATTTCTTATATGTTTCAGAACAAATTTTAGTTGTTTGGAGTGTTTGTTTTCTGATTCTTTATTGGGTTATGTCAGCTCTGTAGAACAGCTGAAGACCGCCCTGAGATTGTATTCCTTAAAGTTAATTTTGACGAGAATAAGCCAATGTGCAAAAGTCTGAATGTGAAGGTGCTTCCTTATTTCCATTTCTATCGTGGAGCTGATGGACAGTTGGAATCCTTTTCGTGTTCACTCGCTAAGGTTGGTAATTTTGCAATGCTTCTTCCCTCACTATGGGATACCGCTATCGTTTTCCAACACTTCTATTGAACCTTGAGTAACAAAGTTAAGACGAGACAAACAGATTGCTTTTCATCCCTTTCGGGATCTACTGGTGATTTTACATTTCCATTTTCCAATTAGTAGATTGTATCAATCTCTTCAAAATTTTGAGTGTTATGCAATTATTTTTTGGAGGATTTTGTTGCAGGGTATTGGGAAAAAAAAAAAAATGAAAGAAAAGTAATCCTATTAGTAAGTCACAGTTCTAAATTGAAGCATCACACCAGAATCATATTAAATTAAGACAAGTATGAGTTTAGAGGTACTTGATAAAAAAATCTGACTAGCAGTTTAAACTGTGACCATTAGTTTTTTTCTTACCTCGCCCTAGCAAAGAATTCTCCTTTTTTAAATAAATAAGTCAATAGATAGAGAATCTCTCTGGGAGCCACAGGTTTTATATTTTGACATCTGATCTTCTCAAAATGTTATGTAGTTTCAGAAATTAAAGGATGCCATTGAAACACACAACACAGCTCGTTGCAGCATCGGGCCGCCCAAGGGAGTCGGAGATCTTCCGCTGGAACCTTAATTAGCTGCAAAGGATAAATCAAAAGAATCTCCTTCAGCATAGTTAATCTCCCAGTCTACCTATTCTACAAACCGAAGTGAATTTGCATAGCATTTAATTATCTTTGTAAATTTGGATTTGTATGCCTAAAATTATATCCTGTCCCCATTCTTTGCAAATCTTAGCTTCAATATTTTGTGTCCCCCAAAATTAGTGGCTATGAAATTAAAATTCTTTAGTTCTTAATATGTATTTGAATGATACATTTTCTCTCATTTCCGCCTTGCAAATTCAGCATTACCACTTACCATGCACTACGAATTAGCAGCTATTTGCTTCTTGGGATCACCTATAGATGTCAAAGGAGTTATATATTGTGGTCCTGTGTTACTTTCTTAAATAAGTAATATAAAGACAGTTATGTAGTTTTTGGTGAACTGAAAACTCGTCAACAAGGAGTTCATGGAAATTTTTAGCTCACTCCAGAATTAATGCAACAATTGATGTAGAACGATGAGAATTAAATGCAAGACACAAGAAGATTTATAAGAGGCTGTTCACTTCGTAGATCACACTTGAGTAAACTTAATTTGAGTGTAAAATTAGGTCAAGTTATGTATTCACTAAACACAACTCGAATTTTAAATTTGAGTAATAACTCGAGTTTGTGAGTTTCACTCACTCATTGTTTTCCCATTACTTAAGTTTGGTTCTGCAGTGCGGATTGTCTTTGCATAAAATGACACTTCTTTGTAATTGGAGTTTAGTTTTAGTACAAGTGAACACGAAACTCAAGTTTTAAATGTCAAATCAATCTCCTCTTAAACACTAAACTCAAAATCCAAATTAAATTTAAATTTTTTACAACTCAAATTCACTTTCTTAATTCAAATCAATAAATTTAAATTAGTAAAGTGAATGCGCCTAAAGTTAAGAGTTACTCTCAACTTAAGAGTTACTCTCAACTTAAGAGTTACATCTGTCGTAGGGAGAAGTTGGCGTTTTGCACTATGTGGAGAAAAAGCGTTACAAACTCAAATACTCATAATGAGACTTTTTTTTTTTTTTTTTTACTTTTTTCAATGAGGCCTTACCTCCTATTTATATCATTTTTCTATATAATTATATTAAATGAATAATCAAATAAATGAATTATCTATCATTTCTCTTTTGGATTTATCTCATCTTAATGCGTAGATATTATCTCCTAAAATATCGGACTTTGAATTAAATGCGTCTTCTTTAACAAGGCTTGAAAACAATGATAAAAAACATAAATTATAAAATTTTCAAAAGAAAACAATAAGACCTCTATATTTTAAAAAAAAAAAAATACGCACACGCGAGTGCGTGTTTCAACTAGTATATATTGTAAGGCGCCATCTATCATTTTGACGTCTTTGGTTGTTTGCACGTCCTTTATTATTTTTGCCTTCTTTTGTTGCTGATACAGTTTTAGACAGGGGATGTTTGGTACCTAGATTCATTTTTTGATTTGAATCATGGTTCATGATTTGTTATCGTATTTTTTCTCACAAAAAATACACGTAAATCGAAAATAATTTTAATCACATGGTTTTAATCCATGAACCAAACGTACGATTGCTTCCAGGTGTCTAACATGCATATCATTCAACATTTTTTTTTTAGTTATTTTTGAAGATAAAAAGGAATAACGAAATAATCACTCTTTTTTGTTGTTAAAGTGCAGTATATAGTTACAAGAGTTTTAAAAATATTGTTCAAAATGACTATAATCATTTAGACGGCAAATTATATTTGTAAGTGTATAAAAATCAATCAAATCTATTTTTTAGTGCTTCATAGAGGTGAAAACGTCATTTTTCAACTCTATAAATAGTTATAAACTTTTCTACAATATAAAGAATGACATATTTGAAATTTTAAAAATATTTAACCGTCAACTAATATATGGGGTGTCTCTATAATGTTACATACAGGTGGCAGTGTAATAAGTCCTATGTGAAGTTCAGCAAAATTATATAATTATAAAAAACGAGTTCATAAATAGAGTTATTGAGAGGAAAATATTAAACTCCAAATTAGGCACGTGCTCAGCACAGCATAGGCACGTGCTCATGCACAATACGTGTTATTCTCATCTTAAGTTACTCATTAATAAGGTATTTTCGTGTCGTAATTTGTTATATTATTTTTTCTCATAAAAATACACGAGAATAATTTTGAATTCATAAATTACACATCTCTAATTCTACTCTCTCTCTCTCCGAAACAGAAAAAAAAAAAAAAAAAAAAAAAAAAAAAAAAAAAAACAAGAGCTCATTAGTGACCCTTGGCTCCGAATACTGGAGGCCGTTCTTGCAGTCTTTCTGTCGTCGAGAGCAAGGCAGCCTACCGAGCCAATTTCAGGCCATCTGTAAGCCAAGCTCCTCCGTGGTTTTCTTGTTCGTTTGAAGTTGGAATTTTGTAATGGAAAATTCATGTCTTTGAAGAGATCTGGGTGTTTCTGCTACAATCGTTCATTTCCCTTTGCTTCTAAAAGCCCCTTGTTCTTCTGAATGCATTTTAATCCTTGAGAAGGCAAAGTCTGTTCCAATTATCTTTCGGTGGACCTATCCCTGTCCGAGCTACATCATTTTCTAATTGTTCTTTTATATGATTTGCTATGCTTACTCCACTTAGAAATATTGCTACTTGACGTGATTTAAATCGACGAATTTTATAACTTTTTGTTTTTCTCTCGATATTTAAAGTTGACATACATAAACTAGTATGAAAAAATATTTTAAAAATTAGAAAAATAAACATTGGTTCAAGAAGTTCCATGAAATGTGGTTTGAGAAAATCTCAGACTGTATACGAGACACCACACTTGAGGTAAAAAAAATTTCTTAAATTTTTTATGGCCTAAGGCTGCCTAGAGCCTAGGGCTAGTGCCCACAAAACACGTTATGATTGTTGTGCGTACAAGTTTGCCCCACAACGTATTTTTTGCACTCATGCCTTTACCTCAACACCAACATTTTTTGTGATTTTTTTTTTATGCACGAATAAACACATATGTGCACACCACTACACCAATAATAGGGTCTATGCATGATTTATAAATGTTTTATCATCAGTACATCAGAATCACATTGTATGGTGCCTTGTGGTTGAAACTAACATCCTTCCATTATTCATTATTGTTGCAAAATTTTCCGCAAGCGTACCGTACGGTATCAAGTTTTAATAGTATAAAGTGAGTGGGTGTCGTCTATATAGAGGTTAGATGTTAAATTACCGCTAAGTAGTGCTGGAACTTTGGGTCGGCGGGCCGCCCAAAGCCTGAATTTTTTCAGGCTTGGGCGGGCCGGCCCAATTCCCGCCCGCCCAAGCAAGAAATTCGAGTTCGGGCTCGGGCAGCCCGAATTTGACATGTCCACCATTGCCCGCCGCCGTCTAACCACCGTATACCGCCGTCCGCCGGGATTTTTTTGAATTTTTCCTACCAAGCCCGAACTGCCCGACCCGAAAATTGGGTGTGCCCGAATTGCCCGACCCGAAGCCCGAATTTTGAATTTTTTTTTAATTTTGCCTGAATTTTTCCCACCTGCCCGAATTGCCCGACCCGCCCGAGGTGCCCAAATTGCCCGAATACCCGAAAACGGCTAGTTTTTTGAATTTTGCCCGAAAACCCGAGTTGCCCGAAAACCCAAAAACGGCTATTTTTTGAATTTTTACCCGAATTCTGCCCGAAAACCCGAGTTCGTGTGTTCATTTCAAATTGTAATATATATATATAAATTGTAATACTAATATATATATATAAATAACTTAATATTAAAAAAAAGTTTAAAAAATTCGGGCAATTCGGGCGGGCTCGGGCCGCCGAATACAAGCCCGCGGCCCGTTCAAGGTGAAATTTGGGCTCGGGCGGGCGGCCCGAAAATCTCGGGCGGGTCGGGTTCGGGCTCGGGCAAATCCTCGGGCTTTTCGGGCGGTCGCGGGCGGCCCATCCAAAGTTCCAGCACTACCGCTAAGTACCGCGATTATCGTAACTCAACTTTATTTAGGCAACCGAACTTAATAAAATAAAATATAACTATAACAAATATAAATACAAAACAAAATAAAATATGGAAAGTACTTCTATGTACAAATGTACTAGAGACTTGACTTCACCTTATCATTTCTATGTTCATCCTATCAAACCATTGCTAGCCAATGCCAGTCAATTCATTAATCAAGGTTCTAATCTAACTCCGCTACCTCTCCTGAGCATTAAATGAAGTCATATGCATGAATACCCGAATCAATATTCCTATCTAACCCGTTTACTCATACACTCATTAAGTTAAGGCCTTAAATTAGAACTCAAATGTCGATCGCCTCCTAACCTCACAACAATTGAAATCTTAGTTGATAATCAAGGTCTTAATCACCTTCCAGTCTCACAATATCCTAGACTATCAACAAGATTATCTAAGTGTTGATCTTTTCCCGGACTTATAACAATCTAGACTATGTTTCCCAATTCCGGACTATGAAATCAATCTCTCTCGAGCATCAAAATCACAATCTAAAATTATTTTACTCATTGGTCACATAAATTAGAAACATCAAGCATAGATAAACATAAATAAATTAAATTGGAATTTAAACTAACAATTGATAAGATAATCAAATATGGTTTAAATAAAGCTACATCAAACCATAGAATATGAAGTCTAGCTCAACGTAAAAGAATCCATAACCAAAATCATAAATTTAATAACAAAAACTAAAAAAAAAACTACAAAGAAAAGGGAGAAAGAAGAGAAAACTCTTGTGGAGATGAGCTTCAAATCTTCGAATCTTTAAGAATCTCTACGAAGCATTCTTCAAGAATAGCTTCTCTCTCTAGGAATTTTTGTGCCTCTCATCCTTTCTAAATTGGGAATTAAGGTTTCTTTTGCTTAAATATGCTCAAACATGAAGAAAATCTCAGTCAAACTCATCCAAGGGTCTAAAATTGACCATCCATATTGATCAAGGCCGAAAAATGGCCCAAAGTGCGCAAATGATCTATATGATTCATACGATGATATAAAATTAATAAGACAATACATAGTACCCGGGAGATAGAGCAACGAAAGATAAAATAAGTACTCTTCTTGGCAGGAGCTTGCCTGGATATATAGTAAACACGATCCTCAAATTCAAAACAACTACGATCGCTAACGGTGCGAAAAACGACTGGCAATACCGGCGGAAATGGTCTAAGAGGCATGGCGTGGGTCTGTCTATGTGTGAGAAACGACACAAGTTATT